TGTTTATATTTTACTCTAAAACATGGCAGTTTGAGAACTCCCAAGTGAATACTGAGTGAACATGCTCAAGGACAGGGAAATGTGTTCATGGCATTTTTTAAACAAATCACAATGTAACTACTAGATGGCTGTTTGCCAATAATTAAAAAAAAAAAAGGAAAAAATATCAATACATATGTTACACTGATAGAAATTAAATTCTAATTAGATCACAGATATAAACAAAAAAATCTACAAGTATAAAACATCTAGGAGAAAATTCTTTAAGCCTGGAGTTATGCAATGACTTCTTTGTCACAACATCAAAAACATAATCCATAAATAATAAAGTAAAACTATGGACTATAACAAAATTTGAAACTTCCATCAAGTAAAAAAGACCATAAGAAAAAAAGATGACCCAAAGACAGAAAAAAAATTTCAGGCCATACAGCTGACAAAGAACTCACGTCAAGACTATGCAGACAAAAATTCTCAAAACTCAAGACACTGCCAGGTGTGGCAGAACAGCCTGTAATCCAGCACCTGGGAGACAAGGTAGGAGAGTCTGAAGTTTAGGATCACTCTAAGCTATACAGTAAGTTCAAGGCCTAAGCAGCAAGACTGTGAAGAGAGGGAGGGAGGAGGAAGAGGGGATGGGATAGGTCTTTAACAAAAGGCAAAATATTTGAGCAGACGTTCATTAAGGAAGTTACAGCAAATCAAAAAGGCACACGAGGAGCTAGAGAGATGGCTCAGTGGTTAAGAGCACTGGCTGCTCTTGTAGAGAACCTGGGTTTGGTTCCCAGCACCCACATGGCAGCTAACAACTGTCCCTCACTCAAGGGATCCAATGCTCTTTTCTGGCCTCTGCAGGCACTGCATGCAAGGGCACACTTACATACCTGAAGGCAAAACATTTATACATTTTTTTTAAAAAAAACATCCAAAAGCCAGGCATGGTGGTGCACGCCTTTAATCCCAGCACTCAGGAGGCAGAGGCAGGCAGATCTCTGTGAGTTCAAGGCCAGCTTGGTCTACATGGAGAGTTCCAGGACAGCTGGGGCTACAAGGAGACCTTGTCTCAAAAAGACCCCCCCCAAAAAAATTCCAAAAAATTCAGGTGTGGTGATACATGCCTTTAACCCCAGCACTTGGGAGGCAGAGGTAGGCAGATCTCTGTGCATTCAAGGCCAGCCTGGTTTACATAGTGAGTTCTAGGCCAGCTGGGGCTACAGAGAGACCCTGTGTCAAAAAGAACCCCCCCAAAAGTGTTATATGACTTCATTTATATAAATCTCTAGAAAAAATAAATTATTTAATAATGTCAGAAAAACAGATCAGTAGCTGCCCACACTAAGGGAAGACATAGAAGGGAATGTACTACAAAGTTGAATGCTCAAGCTGGCAGTGTGGCATAGTGAATGAAAAATCAGTGAAACAAAGCTGAGATTCTTCCAAAGAAAAATGGAGCATCAGAAATCACAAGTGGTGATAGCACAGCTGAAAAGAATGAAGAAACAGGAAGGTAATGCAGTGAAGAAGAGCAGGAATGAGCAAGGCAAACAGAATCCTCATTCAAAAGGCGAGGCAAGGAGCTAGTGAGATGGTTCTGCAGTTAAGAGCATTGGCTGCTCTTGTAGAAGACCCAGGTTCAATTCCCAGCACCCACATGGCAGCTAACAACCATTCGTAACTTCAGCTCCAGGGAAACAAACACCCTCTTCTGACTCCATGGGCATTACATGACACAGGTGCACTTACACATATGCAGACAATACACTCATACACATAAAAACAATAAGCAGGGCATGGTAGCTCGCCTTTAATCCCAGCACTCAGGAGGCAGAGGCAGGCAGATCGCTGGGAGTTCAAGGCCAGCTGGGTCTACATAGTGAATTCCAGGCCAGCTGGGGCTACAGGGAGACCCTATCTCAAAAAAGACCAAAATAAATAATAAAATAAAATAAATATTTTTTAAAAGGTGAGGCAAGCCTACATGCCCTGGTGAGAGACTACTTGTCCCACCTACAGGACAAAGGCACAGTTCTCACAAGCCTTAAATCCAGGTGAGTGATATGGTGTGAGGAGATTCCTCTGTGAGACAGGTCAAATTGTGGTGCTTAGGTTTTGAACCCAGGACCTTGCATATGCTAGACAAGTGCTCTAACTAACCATATTAAGCTATATCCTCAGCACACGCGTGCACGCGCACACACACACACACACACAATTTTTTTGTCTTTTGATTTAAAAAAAATTTTATGTATATGAGTGTACTGTCTCCATGTATGTAAGTGCACCCATGTCATGCAGTGCCTGTGGGGGACAGAAGATGGCACTGGGTTCCCTGGAACTAGAGTTACAGATGGTTGTCAGCTGCCATGTAGGTGCTGGGATTTGAACCTGGGTGTTCTGCAAGAACAACCTCTTAACCACTGAGCCATCTCTCCAGCCCCTTTTATTTGTTGTTTAAAGACACAGACTAACAGATTTGGGAATCTGCATCCTAATAGTATCAAAACAGTGAGGTGAATGGGAATCTAAATTAAAATGCTACTCATAAGCTGATCATTTTTGCAGCTGGATACGAATATTCCATCTAACTTTACAAACACTAAAAATTTTTATGATGAAAACTAAGAAAGCAGTTAAATCTACTCTGTATCTTCTACAAACAAATGTATCTTAATTACTGATTTATTTGTAGTAAGTCTATTTAGAAATGTTTTTGTTTGGTTTTGGGGTTGTTTTTTTTTGGTCTTTTTGAGACAGGGTCTCCCTATGGCCCCAGCTGGCCTTGAATTCACAGAGATCCACCTGCCTCTGCCTCCCAAGTGCTGAGATTAAAGGCGTGCACCACTACACCTGGCCTATTTAGAACTTTTTACTCAAGTCAAATTTGTTTGCATTTCTACAACACAAACTTTGTAACATCATCAAGCAGATGTGTAACTTAAACACATTAAAAATTGCTGATCCAACTTTGGGCGTGGTGTCACACACCTTTGAGCCCAGCACTCTGGAAGCAGAGGCAGGGATCTCCATGAAACCTAGGCCAGCCTGGTCTACACAGTGAGTTCCAGGCAGGCTGGGGCTATAGGAGGAGACCCTGTCCAAAAAAATGCTGCACTATTAACAGTGCACACTGTTTGAGATCCCATCCTTGCTCTACATTCTGCCTTGTACCATGCTGAGCACACCTTGTTCTCAGATTCTTAGCCCTACACCTAGAAATTGTACTCATTCCTAGAACAGAATGCCTAATAGATCTCTCCTAAGCCTGACAAACTCTTCCCCAAAGCAGCAATATCATCCCCCCAGAAACTTCCCCCAGCACACTTCAGAGTTCACTGTTTTCTGTTCTCCTCAGTGCTTTGTGTAAACACTCACTATTCTTTAAAAACAGACTGAATTGTCTCAAGTTGTGTGTGGATGTGTGTATGGGGAGGGAGAGGGAGGGGAGGGGAAGGGGGGGCGCAATATGTATACATGATGTTCATGAATACAGGTGCACATGGGAACCAGAGATTGAACTCAGGGTGTCAGGCTTGCATAGTAAGTGCTTTTATCTGCCGAGCCATCTTTTTATTCATCTAAATAATGATCTACAGAACTGTCTTCCTCTGTAAGAATATAACGTATTTCATTCAAAAAATCTTATCTTTAAAGTCCCATAGCAGGCAACTAAATATTAAATACATGTATGTTATCAACGTTGCCTAAATATAGCTTTTGCTTGGTCTCCATAAGTAGTTTCTGTAAGAAATATGTAAGAGTTTTCATATGATTAAGAGAATCAATAAAATAAGATTAAGAGAATCATTAGGAATAAATGGTACCCAATCTAGGCTTATTCTCACATTTCTTCAAAGTATGAAAATGAAGATTATGTCACCACAACGTTAACAGAACCAAAATAAGAGCACTAGAGAGAAATCAAATGTTAGATTTCAAAAAGTGGGGCTGGATGAGCTGGGCGTGGCAGGTAGATCTTTGTGAGTTCCAGGCAAGCCTGGTCTACATAGTGAGTTCCAGGACAGCTGGGACTACAGGGAGAACCTGTCTCAAAAAGACCAAAAAAAAAAAAAAAAATTGGGGCTGGAGAAATGGTTCTGTGGTTAAGAGCACAGATTCAGTTCTCAGCAACCACATGATGAACAACCATCCATAAGTCCACTTCCAGGGGATCCAACACAGGCACACTTACATACATACAGGCAAAACACTCAGACACATGAAATAAAAGTTTAGTTCAATAAACTGTCTGTGCGTGCATGTTCACATGTATGGACGTGTGCTTGTGGAGGTATGCATGTATGCAGGTGCATATGTATGCATGTGTGTGGAAGTCAGAGTTCAACCTCAAGACCTGCCCACCTTGTTTTTGAGGCAGATTTCTCATTGGCCTGGAGCTCACCAATCTGACCAGGCGGGCTGCCCATCAAGTGCTGAGGGTTCACTTGTGCCTCCCCAGTGCTGGAATTTTGTGTGTGTGCATGTGTCTTTTTGAGACAGGGTCTCCCTGTAGCCCCAGCTGTCCTCGAACTCACTATGTAGACCAGGCTGGCTTCAATCTCACAGAGATCCACCTGCCTCTGCCACCTGAGTACTGGGATTAAAGGTATTACCACTACGCTCAGTCCAAGTTCAAAATTTTTACAGGAAGAATTCCCTTTTTATTTCCTATGCAATTGTACCTGTTTATCTATTGTATCCAAAACACAGACATGCATGCTATAAAATGAGAAGATTCTATTATTTATTAAAACATACCCACTAACTCAGAAAAGTCCAAAGAGAACAGTATGTGGTTTCCTTCAGGGGCAGAGGACAAGCATGAAGACTTTCATGCCAATGAACACTTTCACTTACTATTTTTCAGATGTTTATTATCTGCTATTGAGAAAGGTTATTATATATTACTTTGTCACTCAGAAAAACATAATGGAAATTTTGAAAGCTGTATTTCATGTCATTTAAAAAAGAGTTAACTATGACTACTTGAGTACGATTCTTACCAGATTTAAGACCTGATATTTTGAAGATGGCACTTGGTTTCCCATTTGTGACAAATCCTAGGAGCTGCCATACTGGTACTCCGTTTGAATCTGGATAGGAAAAGTAGACAGATCCTCCCATTCCCTCAGGAAATGGGACTGTTCCCAGCATAAAAACCACAACATGGTTAATATTTTCATAATCGGGCAAGTCAAAAACAAATTTATCCTCTGCCACTTGCTGTGGGGCCGTCTGCACCTAGAAAATAAGAAACCAGTCTTAGTTCAATAGTTTGATGAGTTACTATAACCTTTAGTTTAAACTGTGTCACCGCCAATAATCTATTATGTTCATTATGTCCACATGTCAAGTTAGCCTGATACTCTAATTAGAAAGTCACCAATAGATCAAAGATATGAAATCCAAAAAATATACATATAGCCTTACAATGAGTATTTAATAAATGTAATCTTTCCAAAATACTGCTAGTCTTTCAGCAGTTCCCTGAATGAATTTTATGAATATAAACAAATATAGAACACTAAATATGGGCTGGCATGGTGGCTTAAGAACACTAAATATGGCCTGGCATGGTGACACATGCCTGTTATCCGAGGACTTGGGAGCTGGAAGCTCAAGGATCAAGAGTTCAGGGTCATTCTAGGCATTCTCAGCTACATAGCAAGTTTGAGGCTAGCCTGGGCTATGTGATAAGGTTGTTCAAATTAACGATTCCAGACTTTTATCCTCCAATTTGAAGGTACAGAAGTTCAGGTAATTAAAATGGGTATGCAATATAGAAGCAATTAGTTTTTAATTAGTCTAAGATTCTGTGTTTACAACACAGAATTCACTTACTAATTAAAATTTATTTGTAACCCCCAAACCAAGGCTTGTTGGACTTCTGCAATCATTCATGGACACTCAGAAGCAGAACAGCAAAAAAAAATTTGAGTTGCCTTACTCAAAATTTCCAGGCGAGGTGGAACACAACTATGTTGTGTCTTCCTTATCTCAGCCCACCTGCTGTGAACGGGCGGCCTTTCTGCAAACTAGGGGCCATGCTTTCCACTTTGTGCTTTCTATCTGTGACTTTGCTATTTACAATGGCCAAGCTTTATAAAGTGCCTCTAGTGTGTCCACCTGCAAGACTATGAAATAAATATCTCGCTGTGAAAATGCACTGCGTTACACTTTTTTTCAGGTATGAGTTATAAAGGTGTTGAATATTAATAAACCAACACTGCTTCTTTTGGAGACAGGACCTCGCTATGCAATCCTGGATGGCCCCAGTCTTACCCCACCCCCACTAGTCCAGAACTCAAAGTAATCCTCCTGCCTCAAGGTCTCAAGTGCTGAGATTACAGTTGTGAACTACCACTCCTGGCTCAACAATACGTATGTTTTTATTTATTCATTATTATTATTATTTTGTCTTTTTGAGACAAGGTCTTTCTGTAGCTCCAGCTGTCCTAGAACTCACTATGTAGACCAGGCTTGCCTTGCACTCACAGAGATCCGCCTGCCTCTGCCTCAGGAGTGCTGGGATTAAAGGCGTGTGCCGCCACGCCCGGCTCAATACATATGTTTTTAAACAGAAATACAAATAAAACAAAGGAATGACAAGATGATCAAAAATCCTGAGACTAAAGGCTCTCAGGAACCCGATCCTGCAGTTCAACTAGTAGCAAAGATTAGTATTTCTCATTTAGTTTTCAGGCTCAAGAAAAACTAGATGAATAAGAATTGACTGTAAGGCAGGTATGGCGGCACACACACCTGGGAGGAAGAGCAGGAGAATCAGATCACGGCCAACCTTGGCTCAATGATACTCTGTCTCAAAAACAGGGGCATAGAGAACTGACTGCAAATAAAAGTTTACCTTGAATTACGTATGTGCTGATATTGCTATTTTATTTCATATGCATTACCAAAAATACACAATAATTCTGAGAGAACTCAGGTAGAAAGACTGACAAAAATTTAGTTTACATAAGGTTAGGGCTTTCTTTTTAGTCTTGGTTTCTGGTTCTGAATTGCAATTGCTATTCATCAAAACATCAAATCTGCATTAATTCAATTATTCTGGTCTAAAGAATAAATTCTTCTAATAAATATTATTTTAGGCTGGACGTGGTGGCGCACGCCTTTAATCCCAGCACTCAGGAGGCAGAGGCAGGTGGATCTCTGTGAGTTCAAGGCCAGCCTGGTTTACATAGTGAGTTCCAGGACAGCTGGGGCTACAGGGAGACCCTGTCTCAAAAAGACCAAAAAAAAAAAAATTTAATTCTATGTGTATATTTTGCCTCCATGTATATAAGCAGCCCCTGCCATGTAATGTCCCGGAGGACAGAAGAGGGCAGATCCCCTAGAACTGGAGTTATTAGCTGCCATGTGGGAACAGACCCAGGTTCTCTGCAAGAGCAGTCCATGCTCTTAACCACTGAGTCACCTCTCCAGCCCAAGATTAAATTCTTAATGCTTGAATACAACTTATTTTCTGTGCCCAGTATTATTTGTTAAATGCTTACTTTTCTCTTCTAGAATATCCTAATTCAAGAAATCTAAGAAAAAGACATTACTGTATAAATCAATCTATTATAAAGTAGTATGAACTGCCCTACATTAAATCCTAAGATGTCAAGACTGAGTGTCAGGGTCTTGACAAAGAGACAAAGGCAGGCAGATCTCTGTGAGTAGTCTACAAAGTTCCAGGCCAGCTGGGGCTACAGGGACCCTGTTTCAAAAAGGGGCATTAGGGGAACTACGGTATTCATGAATCTTGAGATAACCATTGGCAAAATAATGTTTATGTGTCAACTTTTACTGCATAGGCAAGAGACACTCTATAAATCTACACCCACATTCTCATCCCTTTTTTCCCAGGGCTGAGACAGGAACTCTGTGTAGTTCCAGCTAGCCTGAAACTCTCTATACAGACCAGGCTGGCTTCAGTCTCACAGAGATCCACCTGCCTCTGCCTTCCAAGAGCTAGGATTAAAGGCTTGACCTATCACACAGGCTTTTTTTAAATTTTTTTTTAAGGAAGGGTTTTATGGCTGAGGCCCAAGCTGGTTTTGAGTGCCCTAAGCAGTTAAAACTGATTTCAAAATCCTGAGTCTCCCACCTCCACCATCCAAGTGCTAGGATTACAGATGTAAGCCACTGTATCTAACTGGTCACTCTAACATTCAACCCTAATTAAAACAAAAGGTACCCTTTCGCTTTAAGGGCCAAGAAAAAAAAAAAAAACAACCTCAAAGAATGAAAATAAGGTTCATAACTTTCAAAAGGTAGATTTTTCTGTTAAGAGAATATCATAGTTAAGTTCTGAGATGCTATTAGATCTATTTGCCCTTCATCTTCATTTGTCTGATGCCACACAGTCTAAAGCCAAACATACTAAAAGCCTTGTCTTCAACATTTGCTGAATATTTATCATAGAAACTTGGTGCTGGGCGTCTGCAGAAATAATTTTCTTTCAGACTCACAGATTCTATATAGGTTTTTTGTTTTGTGAGACAGGGTCTCCCTCTAGCCTGGAATTGGCTATGTAGACCATGCTGGCTTTTATCTCAGAGATCTGCCTGCCTCTGCCTCCCAAGGGCTGGGATTAACAGTGTAACTCACCACATCCAACCTTCTTATATAGGATTTGTATTCTTTAAAAAAAATGTTTTGTTTTTGTGGTGCGAGGGATTGAACCCAGGGCCTTAAGCATACTAAGAATTCTTTTACTGTTTTAAAAAATTGTATTTACTATTTTTATTTTATGTGTATTCGTGTATTGCCTGCATGCAGGTAAGTGTACCCACATCGTGCAATGTCCTCGGAGGTCAGAAAAGGCTGTCGGATCCCCTGGGACTGGAGTTAGGACAGTTGTTAGCTGCCATGCCAGGTTCTTCCGCAAGAACAATAACCACTGAAACATCCCTCCAGCCCAAGAATTCTTTTACTAAGTCTACAAAGTGAGTTCCAGGCCAGCAGAGACTACATTTATTAATTCTTGGGTTTGTCAGTCTTTCCTTGAGAGTGTCAGTTTTGATTCGACCAACTTTGTATTAAATGAAAGCATAGTATCAGAGCACAAACCTTGTCTACTTTCACAGATCCTCTCAACGGTCTGCTCTTCTGGTCTCTTGAGGTGACTCACCACGCACTTGCATTCCCTTT